ATAAAGTTCAATGTCTCACAAAGTGTATTGAGACATAATAAAGTTCAATGTGTCATACATACCTCTTTTATGATTTTAAATTTGATAAATACATCTTATATACTTTTTAAAATTTTAATTTACTGGTATAATCTCAATAAATTGAATGATAAAAATAAAGTAATAACATTATTTTGAATTGTAATTTCGATTTTATTCATAAAATATGTAATTATCTAAATTTTTAATGCTATGAGATGATTTTGTATGTTTATGTTTAATTGAACCAATGATCAAGTCCAACCCATTTTTTTCTTAATATAATGAACACTAGGTGATTCTCTTGCGTACACGCGGGTAAATTATTTATGTAGTTTTGTTTTTAGTTTTAATCTTTAAAAATGTGAAATATGTAGTTGTTTGATTTTATAATAGACATTGTTGTTGGTTCTTTTGTTGTTAATTATTTTGGTCAATAATATCGTTTTTATTAATAATATGAATTTCAGAAATTTAGTTTTACCATTTAATTATTTTATATATGTAAATGTATCAAATCAAAATGTAATACATTAGAGTTAAAAAAAACGTATTAAATTTGTCTTGTCCGAATATCTTAAGTAATATTTAGAATACAAATAAATTATTTAATATTTTAAAACATTAGAATATATAATAATAAATTTTATAAATAAAACGCAATAAAAATAATTGTTGCTTTCGAAGAAAACAATATTTTTATTACTTTCAAATTGTCTTGCGTAAAAAAAATTTCAAAAGAATTCTCTAATTTTATTTTTACAATAATCAATTTCTAAACTATTTTTAAATGTTAAACTCATACTAATCCTTCGAAAGAGGATGAAGCAAATGCGAACAGAACTCCAAATCTTTACATTGTACAAAGTATACATTTTGTAGTATATTATTTTTCTACTCTACCCATTCTGATTTCTCGTAATTCTCAACTGATCTTCTTATAGCATGATGATTATTATATCAAAACCAGCCTGTTGCCATCAAGGTACAAGAAAGACCACAGAGTTTCTCTATTTCTTATAAAATCAGACTCAAAGCAAAAGAGATCATACAGTTGAATGTCTGATGAGGTTGTCCTCTCCTTTGCCGAAATTCTCTTATCGATCATAAGTACCAAAATCATGTTACAATTAAATTCTCTGCAACGCAAAGTTGATAGCCAAATCATGCTCGTTCTTGTTCTTGCTGCAAATTCACACCAAATGATCCAAAAACTGTGAATATGTTCTCATGATTTGTGTGGATAAATGCGCAAGGATCCTCTGCTCCACTGAAGCATAGTCAAGAGTAAAACAATCTCCATCCGATCAATGAAAATAGCTTTCTGGTATGCAAAATCACAATACCATGTTCATACATGAGAGACAAAAGAACTCAAATTTATATTAGGTTTCCCATTCTTATTATAAGAACAAAAAAAAAACCAACATGTTTTGCAATTGATATATAAAATTGGTGTCAACTTTTGAAACTTTAAGAAACGCAGAGATTCGTAAGCGTAAACACATGTCATAATCGAACAATCAGAATCGAAAGTAGAAGAAGGTGAAATCAGAGGAGAAATCTGTGACACCCGATCTCTAATCACTTTGAGCCCTAGGTCTCGTGCCCTAACTTGTTCAACAAGCAACATACCTGCACAAACTAAAAGGGAAAAAGAGGGGTAAGTAATTCCGGGAAGAAATTACTCAGTGAGATTGCTACCCACAACAACTCTAATACTTGGAAACAATAGGCAATCAAACACATTAAACCAGACGTAGAACATGCATCACCCAACTTACTACTAGCAACATAACATTCACACTAGAATTTTTACACCATAATCTCTTTTACTTATATATTAACTCATACTTAAACATTCCACTTTTCACATTTTCTATTTTTCTTTCATTTTCACATTCTTTACTTTTCTTAAATTCACGGCGGAGCCAACCCCTTTCTCGCGTTTTGGGTCTGTCCTCTCTGTCATGGCCCTCTAAGACCTAATGGACTACAACGAGCTTACATATGCGATCGTTCGTAGTCCAACGCGCAAAGTTCTGTAACGGGCTTACGTACGCGATCGTTCCCAGAACTATCCTATACTCTAACAATCTCAAACAATACTTTTTAATCTTTAACTTCATTTAACTACCAAAAAATTTC